CGCATAAATTTACAACGCCTAAAATTCATGATAATAAGTAGAAATAATTATTTCATTTCATTTTTAAAAAGAACGGATTATTTTTCAAGATAATGAAGTCACTTACCTAAAATATTTGAGAGGGATCTTTTGATAAAAATTCGGCTAGAGAGAGAAAGTGCTCACTGCGTTTCGACTAGAGAGAAAAAGATCTCAAAAATTTTCTAAGGTAGGAGTCCTAGCCTCTCCTATTTAAATTCTTAAGATACCTTATTATATTATCTTATTAATTGTAACAATTATATTACACTTAGAACGTTTAAAGCCCACGTCCACTAAAGGACGTGGCAAGGCAGCAAAAACTTAAACCAAAAAGCTTTTGAAAGTAGTGATGGTTCTTAAGGACCATTATGCTCATATGGACCATCACTTATTAAAAGTTTCTTTCTTTTTTTTTTTTTTTCTTTTTTTGAAATTTTAGGATTATTACACGAAGATTGGCATTTCTTTACCTTCTCTTCTAATTTCCAATGACGTAATTATTTATGTGTATTTTTCCATCAATAAAACCTTAAACATTAGTAAAAAAAAAAAAACATGATTTAAAATTCATGAATTATGGATGTTATATAGGTTGTTGGATTATGGGTCCCTAAAAAAATTTGAAATTCATGAATCATGGATATTAGAGGTTGTTGGATTATGGGTCCCTAAAAATATTTGAAATTCATGAATTATTGATATTAGAGGTTGTTGGATTATGGGTCCCTAAAAATATTTGAAATTCCGAATTATAGATATTAGAGGGTGGACTCATATAATTATATAAGGGAAAAGTTTACATAGAGCCAAGGTCTAGACAATCAAATTGGAGCCTACATCGAAACTTTCATTAGAATGGTTGTTTTGATGCCCTAATATCATCGAATTGATCATCTCGATTTCAAGATGCATAGATATGAGAAAAAAAATAGATTTCAAGTTTTGAAAATAGTACGTCTTGTAACGTATTTTTGGACTGCCAATTTTAGAGATTTTCAAGCTTTTATAGATCTACTCAATCTATATTATTTTTTAAGCTTTAAATTTTATAACTAAAGATAAAAATATAATTTAAAGCTATCACAAAACTTTCTAGTAATGAAACCATATTTCTTGATACTATTTGAAGGTGGGCTCTAATTTGATTGTTTGGAGCCTCGAGACAAACCACAACCATTATTTAAATGTATCAGTCAATGGACCGATAGAAACCCCACCTTTTTGCATAGTAATATATATATATTTATATATATATATATATTGGGTGAATTATGATAAAATACTTTATTATTTTTCATAATAATAAGGTACCAAGAAAATCATGAATGCATGAGGGTGCTTTTAGTTAAGTCGTATCGGTGCAACAGTGCCCTTAGCTTGAGCGAAGAAGTGTTCATTTAAATTTTCGAAAAGTTTATATAGAGCCGATGCTCTAAACAATCAAATCACTACCTACCTAAAAAATTTCACTAGAAGAGGCTGTTTTGATGCCTAAATATCCCTAAATTGATCATTTCGACATCAAGATGCATGGATATGAGAAAAAAAATGGATATCAAGTTTTGGAACTAGTGTATTTTGTATTGAATTTTTGGACCGTTAATTTTCAAGATTTTCAAATTTTCATAGATCTATCGATCTATACTATTTTTGAAGCTTTAAATTTTAGAAATAACGATTAAAATATATTTTATGGCTATCACAAAGATTTCTAGTATTTAAACGTACCCTTTGCTAACCGTTTTGTGACTATTAAAAAAAGGGTGCGGTTTGTATAGGGCCTAGCCTCTAAACAATCAAATGAGAGGCTACCTTCAAATAGTGTCGAGAAATGTGGTTTCAATATTAAAAATCTTTGTGATAGCCTTAAAATATAATTTCATATTTATTTATAAAGTTTAAAACTTCAAAAATAGTGTAGATTGACATATCTATGAATACTTGAAAATCTTGAAAATTGGCGATCCAAAAATGTGTTACAAAATACACTATTTCCAAAACTTGAAATCCATTTTGCGCTCATGTCTATACATCTTGAAGCCAAGATGATCAATTTGAAGATATTTGGGCATCAAAACAACTTCTTCTAGTGAAATTTGAGGTAGGCTCAAATTTGATTGTTTAGAGCCTCGGCTCTATATAAACTTTTCCCTTAAAAAAAATGTGACTTCTTACAATAGCACATATTCTGTACTCCAGTGGAAGTATATAGTGTATATCTACTCCCTCGGTCAGAAGACCTACTTGAGAGGATATTTTAGTATGAAACATTGGGGACCATCTAAGAATCACGAGATGATTATTTTCAAAAGAAAAAATGAAATAAAATTTGAGTCTTTTAATACTTAGAGCTTACATTTTAAAAATTAGATAGTCTCTATACAATCTTGAGACACTATATTTTTCAAGTGCACGTAGGGTATAATTAGGAAAGCTTTTTTTATTGAGGTTAATCTATAGTTGAAGAGATTATATCCAAAAATTTGGGGTCTCAAAATTAATCTTGAATGGCTTTTAACTGCGGGAATAAATGGACAGTATGCTCCCGCAAGAGTATAATAACTTTTGGCCTCACAATAAAAAGACATGTTTCAAGTGAAGTCACTTAAGTTAATGAATTTTTAAACCATCATCATCATTTTAGCCTTTTTCCAATTAGTTAGGGTCAACGATTAAATATAAGATCCAATTCTAATTAACCACCCATACAGTTAAGGACACGAAAATGTAACTACTAGGATTGGCAACAGGCCGGCCCGAGCCAGACCTATCTTGACATTGCTTAGGCTTGACCCTCAAGCCACATTTTGTAGCTGGCCCTAATTTGTTAGGGACAGCCTAGGCCACCAGATCCATGGCCACCCCGAACAACTAGCAATGGAAAAGGCACGTTTCTTATTTGCAAAAGTCATAAAAAAAATAGAGACTCAATTTGTTCAGACTGGCATCCATACTGGCAACAAACAACAGATTCATACGTATTCATGGATGGATATTTTATCTCTCTCTCTCTCAATTTCTTCTTCCTAAATTCAATTCAATCTAATTCTTTAACGTTTCTTTGTTTCATGGGAAAGTATTGAATGAGACCATTTACTTTTATTACAAGGTGAGACACTAATCTTTACCATTGGATGTGAAATTGGGGGGCTGCAATTATTCTATTGACCAAGTTCAAATTTTAAAAGAAATTTTATCGAACTTTACAATACATCCACGCTATCAAACTTCACATTGGATGGTTGTATGTAATTGTAACCACCTTGTATCAAGGTAAATAGTTTCATTGTATACAATCTCTTGTTTTATCGTTCTTGTAGGAAAACAACTAGACATTTGTTTGTACCACTATATTGTTATGGGAAAGCTTTCTATGTTCCCCCTACAACATAGAAGTTCTATCCTCCCCTACCATCCAGCCATCCATTTTTTATCAAGAGAACCATTCACCGTTTGATCTTAGATCCAACATCTCAAAGTATTTTATTTTTAGTTTTTTTAATACAATTGTTTTGAATATGAAATTTGGTACTTGCTATCTTCTCATTGGAGCGCACCTATAAAAAATAATAATAATAATTTTTCGATAAAAAATAATGACCAAAATACCCCTTGAAATTTTCAAGGGTTTTTTGATCATTATTTTTTATTGAAAATATTTTTCTTAATATTTTTCATTAGTGCAAGTTTAATAGAGGAATGGATGTCCAAATTTGGTATCAAGATAGTTCATAAAAAAAAAAAATTTAAAAATAAAATAATATAGAGACGTGACATAGTGATTGGAGCAATCTTAACCCACCATTAAAAAATGGACAGTTGGATAGAAGAGATGATAGAACTTCTATGTTGTGAGGGAACATAAAAAACTTTCCCTATTGTTATATCCGTGAGATAATTTTTCCGCAAACCTTTGCAGTACATTGAGATTGACTCCTAATAGGGGGCAACTACTATCTTAAAAGAGAATTGCTTTCCAACAAAAAACAACAAAAAAAAAAACAAAAAAAAAAAAAAAAAAGGAATAGCTTGAAAAATTACTGTAGAATGTGGTACATTTTTAAAACATTTATTGTGAGTGGATTCATGGAGGCATGATTTTTTATTTTTTTTTTGTCTTCCTGCGTATTGATCTTTCGGCACTTCTTAATTTTGCCAAATATGTTTTTCTTTTGAATATTCCATTGTTTTAGGGTGAGGTTTGTATAAGGGGTGTACTTTGTACTATAAAAGTGAGCCGTATTCTAACTTTTGTAAGAAGACAACGGTATAGTTCCAAGGTCGAAAAGGGTCGAAAATCTTACGATAACTTAGAAATCTATGTTTATCCTTAATTATGAAAATTAAAATTTCAAAAACACAGCAATTTTGAAAATAGATGGTCAAGATAATTTGTTACAAAATGTATTATTTTTAAAGCTTGAAATTCGTTTTTTGAAAATAGATGGTCAAGATAATTTGTTACAAAATACATTATTTTAAAGCTTGAAATTCGTTTTTTGCAAGCTGTTGTGAAAGTTACCTTGTACACAAACTTTCACACAGCCCCTCAAAAGCGCTTTTACAAACATATGTGCCCTGAGATGTATCACTTTTCTATGAAATGCCTAAAAGATAAACTGCATGCACTTACCTAATCTTGCCTTGGTCCATTTAATAGTTTCGGAAACATTTTTTTTGTTCAGGTAACTGTATCACAATGTTAATTCACACATCCTGCAGTGCTATTGGTAAATCAATGGGGTGCAGCAAAGTTGAATGATTTGACTAGTGGCTTTCCTCTTATTTCTTAGTGAGTTTTCATATTTATTTGTTTTGATCATCAGATATTGTTTCTTAGTGGGCATTATAATATCCTTAACACCAACTCCCACTAGAAAGCAATCCAAATGCCCAGTAAAATTATTAGTAAATGAACTCTTTGATGCCCTAGAGAATAAATAAGACATCCCTCCTGCGCAGGACTTCTTTGACAAATCTTTTGACAGGCAAGAATTTATAAAACACAAATGAATAAGATACAAAGACAAGTTAATGGTGCAAATGCTGAAAACTAATCAATCAACAAATAATCCCAAAACCCAACACCATGCTTAGATAACCCCAGATTAGGTAACTGATTTCATATCAAGTTTGCCCCTCCAGAAACATTACATATATCAGATGTATCACATATGGTATGATGCACTCCTAGAATACCACCCAAGCTCTTCTTCTCTCATCCATTCGATGAGATTCATAGTGAACTCTTCCTCAATCATTTGATCCCAAATAAGGTCGCACTTATCTCAAACATGTGGATTTTTTCAATTGTGGTGATTTTCAATTGGATTTCACCCAATCTGGAGACTTCACTCTAGAGGGATCCCGTAAGTTGTGGTGCAGTTGATATTGGGTGCATCTAAATATGGGGATTTATAATCCCTCTAGAGTGAAGTCTCCCTACTCCTTCAGGCCTTGTCCCATGCTGAGGATTGGAAAACACAACCATGAAAATCTGCTATCCTCAAACCCAGAAGAGAAGGTTGATAAGTCTGTTGATCTCCCAATGGCAATAATTTAAAATATGACACATTTTCATCATATTGTAAAGCTTTATCAACATAATAGGGGCAGGTATATGCTTAAGCTAATAAAAGTTATGGGTTCAAATGAGAACTCATGCAATTATTTTTATATTTTTCTTTTTCATTCCATTTATTGATTGATTTTAAAGTCATACTTTTTTTACATACTTTTATTGTCCCAAAAATGACGCCATATTTTATGCACAAGTGATGTGACATTTTGTTAGCAACAAAAGAACACATGCTGATACTGCTACATTACACATTTTCTGCAAATCGCGGAATTAAATTCCATAGTATTTGTGGCCTTTTTTCTTTCAATATTATTCTTGGATCACCTCCAAGAGCCAATCTTGACACTCCGTTATTAACCCTTTTGCCTCTGCCTTCCCACCATTTGCCCCAAGCAGAAAACCAAAGCAGCACCCAATATGTATGCATATATTGTATTGTCAGTATGCACACGTGTGTGACGTGCTTTGAGCATCTTATTTCCAACTATATCACAATATAGATAATGAATGTATTTGTCAAAACTACCTTATCTAAAATAGATCACTTCAGGAACGAATAGCTGAATAATTGAAGAAAACTACATAATTATCACTAGAACTCGTACCAGCAACTGTGACACTGGCTGCATTATGGATCATCGTCATAAGATACTCTGGGTATGGGTGATGATGGAAAGAGCACAACAGGTTCTCCCATATTTTGGAACTCATCAAACATTGAAGCAATCTTTGATTGGCAAAGCCCCGGATTTCCAGTCAAGTCTAATCGTTTCAACTTACCTGAAGAAAGACATAAATTATAATCATTAACTAACTTGATAACACTCTGCTGTCATTTTTATCACATACATATTTCATAACATATTGATGAATATTATATCAAAGAAATTAGTATGAATAGAAGCAGCAAGACCAATCAGTCCAGAATTCTGGCACTTCTGCCAATATAAACCAAATCAGGGGAAAGTTTCTAATTCTTGACCTTCATATCCCCTTCCGTAAAGAAACCTTTTGCAATGTAACATCAGACCAAGAAACAATACAGTTCTAGCATAAATGAGGCAAAAGAATAGAAGAATTCAAATATACTTCGGTGATCTGAATTGGTAACCACCATGGATCAAGCATATATACTAAACTGGCCAGACTGACTCAGATTAGTCAGAGCCACAGAGAAATATAGCTGAGATTGTAAAATATAGAATCCGATCACAAAAAAGGCGAGAGGGAAGCAACAAAATCAGTACAGCAACTTTGTCCTTACAAAGCCAGAAAAAAGAAAAGCAATTAGGTCAGCAATCAAAAGAAGGATACCCTTTGATTGCCTTAAAGCAGCATGTATCAGAGGCAAAGATTCTTGGGGCACAAAATTATAACTGGCATCAACCGAAAGCAGGTCAGGAGACCGTAAAATGAGCTGGGAGACAAAAGTTGAAGTTCCAATTCCCCCACGATTCTTGCTGCAATAAATAATCAGATAAAAAAATAGGCCTAGAAAGCATATCTATTTTTAAGTATCTCTTTAACATGAAAAAAGCAGGCTGAGATAAAACCCATGGCTAACCTCAGATTTATATGGGCTAATTCTAGGTTGCTCGGCAATGCTTTTGCAAAGTCAGTGAGACCAGAACAGTCAAGCCCAATTGCTTCGATATCGAGCCTTCGGATACATGACGCTTCCAAGAAGTTCCCCAGAGGGATCACTGCACGACTGTAATAATGCGCATTGAGCAGGGTTTTAAAACTCAGCCGAGTTGATTTTAACTTGGCCAAATTCTTTTTTATATTTTATCCATCTTTTTTGGACTATTAGTTTTGTTTATAGTTTAGTTTGCTTTTTCCCTCTTTTTTTTAACAATTTATTGTTGTTGTTGTCGTTTGGTTTTTTTTATTTTTTATTTTTTATTTTTTATTAGCCCTTTCTTGGGCTTGTACACTACTCGGACAAGTCACCTTGGACTCGCCCACGTTACCTGGCTCAGGAAGGACCCAAGTCCCGAGTCTGAGCCGAGTAACTTGAACCTTCACATTAACTTAATCCTAACGAAGTAAAGGAAAATATAATATAATCCAATGGACTAAAGGAAACCTTAGTCCACTAGGTTCATCACTGCCCAATGAATTGATGAGTGGTGATGGAGACAGGCAGTCCCACCAAAACAGGACCTGACCCCTACGCTCAGTCCTCCCCTGGGATAACTTTCCATCACTTCATTGGATGGTGATGCCCCAATTGTCTATTGTTTCCTGTGTCTGTTGGATTGGAATATAGTCGTCTAAAAACAACATGCAGTTTACTAATAAGGATGACTGAAACCGTTACCTGCCAAGGTAATTATATGCAATTGAAAGAGCTGTTAAATGTCCACAAGAGGTGGAGAAAATATCTAGAAATTGGGTTGCTCCTACAGAGGAGAGATCACAATTATCCACCTTTATATCCACCAGAGGGCAGGGCCTTTCAGAAGCTTCTTTGAAACTTGGAACTAAAATCCTGCTTCACTTCCATTCACTCTCAGATAAAAATAAAGGGAGAAGGAAGGGAGAGAGAGAGAGAGAGAGAGAGAGAGAGAGAGAGAGAGAGAGTCGACAACGTACGACCAATCGCCACTCACTCCCTAGTGGTATTCTCTACTTATACTACCAACGTCTCGTCGACGTACGGTGGGTGTGTAGAATACGTAAAAGGTTATTAAG